ATAAAAAGGCATAAAATGTAGTAAGCAAATATAATATCTGGAGCCAACTGCAACAAAGAAAATTGGAAACAACTGGGAAAATTAAGATACAATCTGGATGTCAGATGATACTGAGGGTTTACCATTCATTTTGTTAGGTGGCATAATGGTATGTTGACTAGTTAGAAAACATGTTTTCTAACTGGGTGTGGTGGTGTGAGTCTGGAGTCCCAGCTACTTGGGAGGCTGAGGCAGGAGGATCATTTGAGCCTAGGAGTTTAAGGCTAGCCTGCGCAACATAGCAAGACCCTGTCTCTTAAAAAGTGATAATAATATTAAAACATTTTTAAAGTGTGCTTATCAGTTAGAAATGAGTATATTTATCAGTGAAATAGATAAGAGATAAAGTATTTATGGGTGAACTGACATGATAAATTAAAAAAAACACTTTAATAAATGAGGTGGGAGAAAAACAGATGAAATGAGTTGGCAAATGCTGGCAGCTGTTGAAATTGAGTGATGAGTCTACAGGGGGCTCATTCTACACTTCCTTCTACCTTTGTGGCTATCAGAAGTACTAGAATAATTCTATAACCTCCCTTCGTGGAAGGCAATAACATGGATTTGAATTTCTAAGTATGGCAGGGCTTATTAAAACACTGGCTTCATTACCTCTCAGGTAGGCTGTGTACCTGCTGCACACAATTCCCAGACCCATGGATCACGTGCCAGGGTTCAAGGTCAAGACACACTTAACAGGTACTCAGCACAACCATTCTGCCATGTCGCTTACAACTTTTACTTTGACATGTTCTGGGATTTTTTTTTAATGGTCCAGAATGTCTAATTAAATGTCCTGGGACATAAAACTTTCTGCATGTCTGCCCACTTTCATTTCTTTAATGTATTACTAATATTTCTGCATGCAGAATAAGAAACACGAGAACCAACAGTTTGCCTAAGTGTGGGCAGCAACAAGGGTAAACAAGATTAGATCTGGCACCTTTGTAGCTCATTTCCTTGACAAGAAAATGATATAAACATAGGAACCTACAAGGAGTCTCTAATTTCTTTTACAACCTTTGTTCTCTTCTGCACATTCTTTTCTGAAAACTTGGAAAATACAAACATAAAAAACCCCAACAAATGAATCTCCAGTCTATTGCTTGGAGATGATACATCTCATTCCAGTTCCAGAAAAAATATTGCATCAAAGGAGTTGCATATTTTTATAACCTTTGGTACAATGGTAAATTGCTCTCCCAAAAGGACTGGACTGAATTTATCTCCCTGATACCAGTGTCACTATATTTTCCATTGCCAGGTAAAACCTTTCTGTTAAAAATAATCTTTTTGTGCTTTTAAAAAAAATTCCACAAGCCATGCATGCTCATTAAAAAACAATTAGAAAGAAAATGAAAAGCTAAAGAAATAAGGAAGTGGCCGGGCATGGTGGCTCACACCTGTAATCCCAGCACTTTGGGAGACCGAGGCAGGTGGATCATGAGGTCAAGAGATGGAGACCATCCTGGCCAACATGGTAAAACCCCATCTCTACTAAAAATACAAAAATTAGCTGGGCGTAGTGATGTGTGCCTGTAGTCCCAGCTGCTTGGGAGGCTGAGGCAGGAGAATTGCTTGAGCCCAGGAGGCGGAGGTTGCAGTGAGCCGAGATTGCTCACCACTGTACTCCAGTCTGGGCGACAGAGCGAGACTCCGTCTCAAAAAAAGAAATAAGGAAGTAAAATTGTTTATGATCTCACTATTCAGAAATATTAATAATGTTATGTTCATATAAAACCTTTCCATATTTTTTCTAGGTGTGATATATGTATGCATATGCATTAAAAACTGAATTATGTGCATCCGCTATTCTGTGGTCAGTTTGTTTATTTAATAATATATCATGAGTATCTTGGCAAGACCTTCAACTATTTCCGCAGGATAAATTCCTGTCAGTAGAATTGCTGGGTCAAAATAAATGCTTCTAACTCAAAAGTACAACTTTTAAATACGCATTGCTGTCCAGGCACAGTGGCTCATGCCTGTAATTCCAGCACTTTGGGAAGCCGAGGTGGGTGGATTACTTGAGGTCAGGAGTTTGAGGCCAGCCTGGCCAACATGGTGACAACCCGTTTCTACTAAAAATACAAAAAAGTTAGCTGGCCATAGTGGTGCATGCCTGTAATCCCAGCTACATGGGAGGCTGAGGCAGGAGAGTTGCTTGAACCCATGAGGCAGAGGTTGCAGTGAGCCAAGATCACGCCCACTACACTCCAGCCTGGGTGACAGAGCAAGACGCTGTCTCAAAAAAAAAAAAAAAAAAAGACACATTGCCAGGTTACTCAAAATAGTAGCACTTTTACTCCCACCAGTAAACAAGTGCCCGTTTTCTGAATTCTCAAACTCTGGCCTTAAGCATTATCCTAGTTATCTTCCCAGACATGTGCATCTTCATGTAAGCCAGCCCAGTCTTTGGCAAGGAACTCCTCAATCTCATCCACTTCACCAAGAGACCTAGGTCTACCTGCTGCTTTTTCTCTCACATTGCAACCCTCCACATCCAATACTTCCCAGATCAGCAGGAAAGTTGGAACCCTCACTCTTGCCTCAACACAGCCGCTCCCATTGCTACTGCTGCCATGGCAGACACTACCATAGAGCTAGAAACATTTAAACATGTACTTCTATCTGGATCAGAAAGAAGCTGCTATGTTAATTTTAGGACTACCTTTAAGTCTTAATAGGGCCAGTCGGGGGGCGTTGCTGATCTTGGCTGGGTGCTCACACATCTGGGAGTCAGCTAAATGCTGGCTGATCTAGGCTGGTGCCATTGTAATCACTGGGCAATTCTGTTTCCGTTTGTTTTTTGAAGTTAGAACAGAAAACAGAGCACTGCTATACCACAAAAACACAGATTGACTATATAATTTCCCAATTGCCTAGATTAAAAAATTGTGAAAAACTTAAAATTAGTAAGTGTCTGAACAAATGTTTACATGGAAGCTTTCCTACTCCAGCATTCTACGTTTAAACATCCTATCCTATTACCTACTATGGGAGACACTGCCATAGTACATTTAATAACTATTTGTTTAATGAATAATGAATATATAGATAAGTGAATGGATGAATGAATGAACAAATGAACTTACACATACTTGGATCTGTTTCTGGTCTTTCCATCTGTTTCTCTGGTAGCATTCTCTATTTCCTGCATCTGAATGGCAGAAGCTGTGCCAACTAGAAATGTATAAATCTGAGAGGAAATATAAAGTACTCCCACGAATGGAAGCATTCCACCCATGGGAAACTCTGCTTATCCAGAAAAACCAGGGGGATAATTAAATGAGTGAATGTAAATGGATTTTGTTTGAAAACTGTAGGGTGGTATGCAAACATCAAGCGCTGCTATAATTTTGATCAAATGATAAGTCTCTTCCATTTATCTTAGTGGGAAATCTTCAATTAGTCAAACTGGAAAATATCATTTAAAAAAAGAACTTCAATCAAAGGATTAACGAGCCCAACGATTTTCTTTGAAAAGGATCATAAGACCCAATGTCTTGGCTTAGGGCTGTTCTCTAAAATAATATTCTGGTTTTTTGTTTGTTTATTTGTTTTTTGTTTTTCTTTTTGAGACAGAATCTCGCTCTATCACCCAGGCTGGAGTGCAGTGGCGTGATCTCGGCTCACTGCAACCTCCGCCTTCTGGGATCAAGTGATTCTCCTGCCTCAGCCTCCCGATTAGCTGGGATTACAGGTGCCCGCCATCATGCTTGGCTAATTTTTTGTATTTTTAATAGAGATGGGGTTTCACCATGTTAGCCAGGATGGTCTCGATCTCCTGACCTCATGATCCACCTGCCTCAGCCTCCCAAAGTGCTGGGATTACAGGCATGAGCCACCATGCCCGGCCCTTTCTAAAATAATATTCTAAGAAAATGTGACAAGGTTCCACAAACATAATTATTGTTTCACACACCTTGTCCCTATCAACGGAGTTTTTGTAGAGCTGCAAATTATAAAATTAAAGAAAAACACACTCTGTGATGCTAGGTGGGAAATGTGGCTTTCCCCAAACAAAATTCGCAAGGGAGAAAAAGTTGTGCAGCAGGTCACACTGTTCTCAAGATGGTCCTGGTTGGGAGCGGGGAGGTAGAATGCTAAAGGAGAAATGCATAGGAAAAAAATAACATATTTGGAACTCAGTGGCTAGCTACAGACGTCCTTCTCTAACAGTTCAATCCAAAGCAAAGTATTAAACACAGGAAAATTAAGATCTG